TTTCCCCCCCCCCCCCCCCCCCCCAGTATTTTTTCCCCTAAGATAAATTATTTCTTTCTTATTATTTTTTCTTACACTTTGGCTGAATTCTTTGTAGACATACACATAATAATGCTTCGGTATGTGCAGAAAAATATGTAATTTGAAATCTTTACTCACAACTAACTTGTAACATTTCTGAAGCATGTCCCTAATCATTCATGACAGCTTGAGCTTTCCTGGTGTCCTTCAGTTAATGATCAGCAATGATTATTAATAAGTTTATAGCTTGAAAGTTTTAAAGCAGTTTTAAAAATCTTGATGAAAGTTGGTTGATTAGAATAGCAGTTGGCTACATGCTGAAAGGGCTCAAATTTTCTTTTACACCTAAGTCATGGTGGTGGTCCAGGTTAGTATTGTAAAGATTGTTGGTGAAACACTAAAAAAGGATCGTTGGACTGACTTCTCAAATCAAGAAAAAAATAATTCTGTTTCTGGCATTTCAGTTATTGGGTTGTGCTCAAGTTAATAGGTTACAGCTATACTGGACTTACCCATGCACACTTTTTTGATAAATTCACTATTCAATGTGATCATAGTGGATAAATCTTCAAAATTCTGAAGCTTCATGATTCTGTTGGCAGCTGATGGCCCAGTCAAAGTTCTTAGTTGCTCTTCATCGTATCTGTTCCCAACTCCAATTGGAAACAGGGATACCCCTAGGAAAAGAGAAGAAAAGGTTTTAAATGGGTACTGCACAGGAAACGGTCTTTGCTGTTGGTGGGTTTTTTGTGGGTTTTGTTGTTTGGTTTTGGTTTTTGGTTGTTTGCTTTGGGTTTTTTTTCCAAGAAACAAATGAAAAAAATAAGAACTGGGACAATTTTTTTTTCCAACAGTTAATTTTCACATATTACTTGCAGCACTCCCCCCACATAGGCTAAAGGTAATTAAGTGCAGAAATGGTGATGCTCTAATCACAGTGTTAGCTAAGATGAGCTCTATTAGTCCCAAGCATGGGAAGATCATGCACGGTCAACAAAACACAGCTGTAGACTTAATGACAACATCTTCACTTTTTTTCAAATGTAAAAAATCTCAACATATTGTTTTCTTTCTTCAGTTACATGGCAATTGGATTATTTTCAAGCCATTTAATTAAAAAGTAATAGTTGTTATTTAGTCCATGCCTTATTCAATAGCTCCCAAAGCAAACTATAAAGGAAGTCACTGTTCTCAATTGAACACCTGAGGAAGCTGAGGTACAGAGACTACAGCCAGAAAACTTGAAAAAAAATCATGCAGCACACATTGATATCAAAAGCATATTCATGTATAGGTCAGTGCAGAATATGATTGAATCTTCTCTCTATTTATTATTATTGCAATTAAGCTTTCAAGATTCACTGTACTGCAATAGTAGAGAATTTATAATATTAGATCACATTTCTGTCATCCCTGTCTATCCACAACACCTTGGAAAATGAAACGCTACTAATTTGTGAAGTCTATCGAAGCTGTCCAGCTTAAATTGCAGACTGACCTTGTATTTACCAGTAATTCAAAGGCATCTTCATCAGGCATGTTTTGTTCAGGCCTGTTTCCTACCAGAACATTACACGCAGTAAGTCCTGAACTTAGATGAATATACCAGTGCCTTAATTTTTCATCTTTTGTTCTTGCACATTAATTAAAAAGCAACAACTCTGCTTAAAAATAGTGACAGCAAAACAAGATTTACTATTCATTCTTGCAGAAAGTGCAGCAGCTTCCACCGTGTCTTCTGATCTCCCCGACACAATGATTATCGCAACCTTTGATGCGCCGGGTCTCCCCCCGTGGGATTCCGACATTGCATTCTGAACAACAAAATCAATGGCTTTTCCTAAAAAGAAATTAAGAGACAAATGAGAGATATGACAAAAAACTCATAGGAGGCTATAAAACTAAATCTTTCTTTATATTAGTATGTTATACAATAGCAGAAAATACTTATTCTTAAAGGACTTTTAACTTCTTCTTTATTGCTGCTACAAAGATCTCTGCTATTAAGAACGTACCAGTACTATTATTACATCCCAACACAGGAGGACCATCCTTAGCTCCTCAGTCTCTGAAGTAATGGGAATTTAACTACCTTTCCTTAGCCACGAGGATAGTTATGCTTGTCACTTTAGTAGTTACTTTTCCCGGAAGTATTAACATTGTGTTGCACAAAAGGAAAGATACAGTAGTATACTTATTTCCCAATTGCAGAACAACAGTGACATCCAGTGGCTAGCTATCTACAACTTCACACCATCCGGAACTGTACACACAAGCTGCTAAGCTCCCAGAGAAGATCTAGACCTTCCTAATTTGGTCAATTACAGGTGAAAAGCATATCTTGCCTCCCTACCGCCAGCAAACTCTCTGAAATCTAGACTTAGACTAACCCATAATATAACTGAGTGATCCATATAAAAAAAAAAAAAAAAACAACAAACAAAAAACCCCAAACCAACTCCCACAAAAAAAACGCCAAACCAAACCCCACAGAACACTTGAATAAATTCAACCTTAGCTACCAAATCACAAAACTGGCTTAACTGAGCAGTTGCTGCCCTTTCATTTAACATCTGTGAATGCTCAAGCAAATTTTTGTTCAAAATCATGACCTCAGCAAGAGAATACTTTGTTAGTACTTGTATTCAGATATGTATTTGCACAAATATTTATACTAGGAATGATGATATTCAGCTTTCTTAAAAGCTCCTTTGGGCTTGGAAGTTATCAGGTCAGGAAGTAGAAATAATACTGTGTGACTGATGTGACATTCAGGGCAAACAGTGAATGGTGAATACTAAATACCTGAAAGACTAGTTCTTCTGAGTAATCTGCAGAAACTGTGGAGCAGAAATATGCTTGCCTGAGGAATTCACTGAACAATTTTAAATAACAAAGACAGTTGTAAAATACTAGAAGTCATATCATGTCATTCACCAGCACCAACAGTGCCAGAATACTTTAGCTCACCTGAACACTTTGCACTTCATGTCTTCTTTCATCATGTTACCTGCCCCCTTTCATTGGCAGAAGCAAAGACTCTTTTCCCAATCTGCTGCAAGTATGGACAGCCTCTAGGAAGCTCAGGCAGCACATTGCTTATTGATACCATGTCAACAGACATTGGATATCTGTTGGAAAGCTACAAGGCTTTCATTAGGCTTCTAGGAAGACTTTATCCCCTAGAGGAATCTACCCTAGAATGTGTATTTGGAAAAAGCCCAAATACCTCCTCTTCCACAGCACTGGTTTGGAGGTGATGTTACTTTCTCAAATACCATTGCCCTCCCCATCCTTTCCTGTTGTCTTATTGTTGTAGCTTAACCCCAGTCAGCAACTACCTGCCACACAGCTTCTCGTTCACTTCTCCCTTAGTGGGATGGGGGAGAGAACTAAAAGGGTAAAAGTGAGAAAACTTTATATGCTGAGCATGACATCATAGGGTCTGGAATATCCCTTTGGTCAGCTGGGGTCATCTGTCCCAGCTGTGTCCCCTCGCAACTCCTTGTGCACCCGCAGCCTTGCTGGCAGGGCAGTATGAAAAGCTGAAAAGTCCTTGGCTTACTGTAAGCATGGCTCGGCAACAACTAAAGCATCAGTGTGTTATCAGCATTCTCCTCATCCTAAATCCAAAACACAGTATTATACCAGCTACTAGGAAGAAAATTAACTTTAACCCAGCCAAAACCAGGACACTCATACACCTTACAGTCCCTGACAGCTTTGTATCCCCTTCCCACCTTACCCAGCCACCTCTCTTTCCCCATTAGCCCATTATCACTATTTCCTTCCCAGAGCCTTAGCCTCAGCTTCACGTGTCATCTCTCCGCACTGATGCCAACAACTAAAGAGAAGAGGTGGGACCAACCAGGAACTGCTGCCAGGCCCTATCAGACCTACCACAGGAAGAGTCCACGTCAGCTTCTCCTCCTATATTTCCATAAATCATGCACTGTTACCTCTTCTAACAATCTCCTTTCCAGAGAGGGTCACATATTTTTCCAAGCAATAATTTTCAAATACAAAGATGCATATTTGTTTAAACCAAAATGCTTTTTAGAAATGTCAATTACAATCAGAAGGAAAAAAAAAAAAAAAAAAAAAAACAAAAAAAAAAAAAAAAAACAGAAAGCATTCAACGGTATTTATGAACAAGATGGGATGTTTTTCTTTTGTTTTTTTGCTATATCATTATTATCTTTTATTTAGTTCTTCCAACTGTGTAGATTCATTCTGTTCTTATATTTCAATTATCATTGTCACTTTACTTATGAATTCTATTTTATATACAAAATACAAACTTTAGAGTTTCCCTCCAGTGAAAAGCTAAAAATTTTGAATATTTTGCTACCTGCAACAGAATATATTTTAAAATATCACTATTAGTTGGATGACAGCTATTCCTTTTCTCAAACTACTATTCCTGACCATAAAAATTAACTAATCGCAGGTATTAACTCATGTCCTATACAGTTGTTTCACGATCATTGCTAGAAATGGTTTTGTTTTCCAGTAGTTACTCTATATGTCTGTAGAGGTAGATGTTAGATGCAGCATGGCATGTTAGCTATAAATAACTAAGGGATAAAACAAAATACAGAAAATTAACATGACTATATTCTGGTCCCTGAGATTGCTCCAGGATGGTCACTGTGCCAGAAAATTGACTCATTTTCCTTTTGTCCAGTAAATAATTACTAAAAAAGTATTTCAGGTTTTAACTTTCAAATATTTTAGGTTAAACTTTTGCACAGTAAGAATCACAAAAAATTTTTCATTCATTTGTGAAAAGTACATGGAATTTCTGTGTTTGTCTGTCTTTAACAACACTTTGACTTTTGTGTGGTTGGCATGGTTCATTTTTCTTTATCCCACTAATTCTGAAAATTTTCAGGAACTTCCATATATGTAAAACTGGAAAAACCATTATTTTTATAATTTCTAATAAAGAAATCAAGTTCCATTTTAATAGAACCAGGGACTATTTCAAAGTCTCCAAAAAACAATTACTCACTTTAATGCACGGAAATTTTGTTTTAGTGTACTAAAAAGTCTTTGGATTTCTCCCCTTATTTTGAAGCCAGCTCTAGAGAAAAGAGCCAGGTGTCTAAAAACACGATCAAATGAACACTTTCATCCTGCTAGATGGATTCAGAAAGTCACCATCCCAAGCTGGAAGCTGTTGGCTCTCAGCTGTTTGTCTCTACACCAGGGAGGGTAATAACAAACTCCTCAGAGGCCATAATAAAAAAAAAACATTGAATGCTAATAAACCAACCAACTGAACATATTCTTACTACTACACTGCAACATAACAGTAACCTGGCATTTTTTTAATCAATAAAGGACATTTAAATTATTTACATTGAAATAAATATCCCCAAGCATAAGGCTATATTAAGACTGAAAGTGGGGTGTGCAGCATCTCAGATGTCATTAAACCAGCTTTAAAACACCAATGTCTGAGTCACACCAGCTTCAGCCCTTATGAGACCACCTTGGGTCTTGTACCCTCCCCTCAGTGGCCAACATGTGGACCACTGCTGCTGGTGGCACCACTACAGCTTGCACTGACATACCTACATGCATTGCAAATGCGCCTCTGGCTGCGTTCGTGCTAACACAAGCCGCTGGCAGAAGGAAGGGTCAGCTCCTCTAGATGCCCCAACTGGGTATGCCCTCCCAGCCCACCCAGTCAGCACCGTTGCCCACCCATCCACACAGCTGGCTGCCTCAGGAAACTCACTGTGTCTGAAAAACAACCTTTCTAATAAAGTGTACTATTTCAGCCATTTTGGCCCTTCCCTCAGCTCACTAAAGGTCCAATGCACATGCCTTCCTCCAGAAGGAAGGCAGTACAAGTGTGCAGCACTCTGGTGTCAGGGAGCCAGGGCCAGGACCTTCTGCAGTAGCTAGCTCCTAAATCTGCTTAGCTGTATGGGACCACACCATCAGCTACTTATTTCAGTGCTGGACCCTAGAGAAAATCAAAATGCTAATAGAAAGTACTCTAAAACAACAAAACTTTTTCATTTGTTTTTAAAGAAAATCCGACAGTGGCTAAAACACAATTTGCTAGGATTTGACAAGGCCCAGTGAAGTGAATAGGAGCTTTGCTATGGACTGAGTTACACATTTTTAATAATTTTCTCTATGTGTACATCTGACCCTAAGCCAGGACTAGCAGCCAACATGCTGCCACATACTGAACATAGGAGTAAACTATGTTAGTTTATTGTATAATTGTTATAAATTGTTTCTTTTTCTCACATATACAATGTGCAATCAAAAAAAAAAAAAAAAGGGCAAAAAATGGGCTTTGGAATCAGAACGACTTCTATGCTCACCTGTGCTTTAAGCATTAGATATATAACCCATGAGAAATCAAGATGGAAGTCTCAAAGCCAAAAGCCTTAATCGCATACAGGAGAGTAACAAAGCCGAGAGCAGTGTGACACAGAATAAAAAACAATCTGTTCCCAAAGGTGACAGACATGATGGAGAATGCATGTCTGGTTGTCTGTCCCTGACCTCCTGCCCCCTCTTCTCCTGTGGCCACCTAACACATCCCACTTACACTGATCCTGAGAGACATAATGGCCACAATTAATTTCACAGATGCACACACACACCCTTCCCAAATTTGACCATCTAAACATGTACCTGGTTAACTGAACAGAAAACTCTAGCTTGCAGGAGCACTGAGCCCCCAGCAGCCTTGCAGCTTAACCTGTAGGATGTGATTGTTAGTCATTGGGCTTGTCCAGGGAAAAAATATAAATAAATAAAAATTTTAAAATGAAAAAACATTGATCTATATGGGCCACTTTAGAAAGGGCATGTTGGTCATTCCAAAGGCTGTCACCACAGTACCTTCTCCCCATCTTTCAGTGCTGATACACTCCTGACTACATTGTAGAACTGAAAACAGAAGTCATGTACAGAATGATCATTAACGTAAAAGCAATAGAAGATACACTACAAAGAAGGAGGAAAAAATGAGAAGGGATGGAATCACTGCACAGTCTTGTTCTCTCAGCTAAGGTTATGAACATTTCATGATGAACTTCAGACAGTCAGAAAAGACTCTATAAGAGCCTTGTTCTGGTTGTCTTTAACATGACTATCCAATAAAGGCCAATTAGCTGGATATGGGTTTTTTTTTTTTATAATATCTGATGCACAATCAAGTCAGACTCATATTTTGATATAATAATTCAGAATGGTTCATGTAGAGGTTCTTGCAAGGACTAAAAGCTGATTAAATAGACATAAACAAGCTTTAAGGACAAAAGGCAATCTGATGACTAGGGTTGGAGGTGTTTAGTGGGAGTCTACAGGGAATTATACTAGATTCTCCCTTATTAATAATTTCATTAGTGATTTGGATAAAGGAGGAAACGTGTAAAAAGGCATGCTAATCTGAATCACAGATATTAGATTGGGAGCAATTATAAACATCATGGAATGAACTGAAAGAGCACAAGGTGCCCTAGAAATGTTTGAATACATGCAAGAAATAATAAATAAATAAATAAATACCCCCCCACAAAAAAAACCCAAAAAAACAAGATTCATCCCAGAATAAGCCAATCTCGAGGAAAATACACAGACTTTTAATGGCTTAGTGGATGCCTCAGGAAAAGTAGGAGCTGCTTAAAAGCAACCTTTGCAATGACTTTCTTTAATTTTTTCTGAAATGAGGAATAAAATGTAAAGTCCCCATGAGGGTCTGTGGAGTTGTGACAGATGGGGATTCCAGCTAGGCAGAGGTTCCTGCCGGCAACTTGCGAATCTGTGCCTTAAGTGGCCTCAGTGGTTTCACTAACACTTCTGCTACATCACCACCAAAAAAGAAAAACTACTACAAGAGGTCTTAATCACCCACAAGTACCAAAGCTGCCTGAGAAAGAAGCAAATAGAAAACACTCCTCAGCACTGGAAGAGGTAGAGAAAAAGCCACAAACTAAGAAGCTTGCAGATAGTCCAGATTGCATCTATTTAATCAAGGACCGGTGTAATCAGGAACAACCCTCCATAACAATAATCCTGAAGCTGGTATTTATATCTTAATTTATGATCTTTACTAGAAATTAATTACATTTTGGTTTGGGTTTGGATTGTTTTTACTGAAACTAGGAGATTATTTTAAATTTTGAAACAAAATAACTGTGGCAAACTAATCCCACAGATCGATGCTTTAAATAGTCAATTATTAGCACATTGATATTCTAGCATTAATGCATGCCAATTAACAAAGGCTGGACTCTTCATGAACAGCACCAATTCATCAGTCCAACAGCACACCAGCACTGAAGGGAGAAGGTTATGTAGCCTCAAAAGCAAACTAGTAGGTACTCAAAACTGGCTTAAGAAAGGAGCTGACACCACTAACTCAGAAACAGTAGAGGGGGAGCAAGCAAGGAAGACCTTTGTCTTTCAATGGGTGGGAGACCTTAGACCAGGGGAGCTGCTGGCAAAACCACAGCCTTGGGTGGGTGATGCACGGGGGAAGTTGGGGGGGGGAAGCAGATTTTCAAAATTCTGCATAGACCACATCGCTCAGGGCAGAGATCTGAATAAAGAAAAGTACTTTGGCAGGCCTTTGCTTCCTAAATCACAGCAGGGGTTTCAAAAGGAAACATTTATACCTTCTTAATCAGGACAGGCAAAGCTGAATGCTGCTATTCAAACATGTTAATAAATGTAGAAAGTTTCAGCAAAAATATTTAAGATTTTTTTCCTAAAGGGGGAAAGGGGGAAACACACATTTCCCTAACAATGCTTTTAATAAAGTTGAGCCATATAGATCATACTTCCTCCAAATTTTGAGTCTGAGGCAGGTAGTAGGCATGGAAAACATCAGCCTAAACAAGCTACTTTGAGGAAAGCTAAAAGCAAGCAAAACCATGGTTTTACAAAGCATCAAGCAGTATTTACTGTAGGGACTGATCACTGTGCTCCCTATGACAATCCTAAATACTCAGGAATGCTGAACAGAGGCATGTTTATGTGATTCTCAGTTCTCTTGCATAGATCACTCTTTTAGCTGAAGGAATGTTTATACTTTTAGCTCTTGCTTACAGTCAGTTTTCTTTGTTCAGTTATTTCTTAGGTGAAGCTATACAGAATTTCCTTATGTCTGAATATCCTCAGAGCTTCTTCTCAATAACTTACTTTAGCCAAAATTTGCACGATGTTATCTTATCACATAAGCATGGGAAAGCTTCGTGGTATAGGCTGGTCTTTTTTGTTTTGCCTGTGCCCTTAAATATTCTGTAGTTTTTCATTATTCCTTACTAAGAAATTATATCTCTCTCCTGGAGTTTCCTTATCATCAAATGAAATAGAAAAGGGAAAGCTTTATGCAGTAAGACTTTTGCAGTGATGGCAACAGAACCTACAGTTGCTCTCTGCACATACAGCTTTTTTGATGGAAGCAGGATGATTAGGATCAGCAAAAACAGAATGAGGATTACGCGGGATCATATTTCTACCACAGGGAAACTAGCACAAATGAGAAGGAACAATGCTGGTCTGATGGGAATGATATTTTTGATAGGTAAATCCTGATCAACCCCTCTCCATAAGCTAGAAAAGATTCCAAAGCTACCTAGAGAACTGCCACATCCAGGTTGAGCCATCTACGCTTTTTAAGCAGCCTCTGCATTTCCAGAGGCCCGAGCACAGATAGGATGACATGAATGACCATGCATTTCCCATGGACCCTGAGTCTTCTGCAGTCAGCCGAATTCACACACATTACAAGGTGCAAGACGGGACCACAGTGACTTATTTTCATTACTTCATTTGGGAGGAACTACTTCTACTCTATTCCATTTTGGTTCATTATACCACATCCCTCATTGTGGTCTCTGAGCATTTTCCAATGAGACATAAACAAATCACTAACGAGTATGTCATGTGGCTGCCTCTCCCCTTTCATTTCCCAAAGGCCATGTTTTCTCTGTTTATCCTGCAGTTCAGTGTGGCTTACTATATACATTACATGGAAGGCTTCATGAAACTTATCTATTTGTATGTAACAATTTATCCCACAACGAGCCCATAGAAGTCTCATCAGCCATCTGGTATTTTTATTTCTCCAGGCTGAGAAAGCAATCATGGCTAATCCTCCTGCGAACTATGGAAGTCAGGTTTTATTTCTCACTTCTCTGTACCAATAACTCTTTACAGTCTGAAGTAGGCCAAAGACCCTAAAAATCTGTGTTCTCCTCAACTCTTATAGGACCCTAATGCTAGGCGGCTGCCAGAGCAAACGCGGTTCCAGTCCAGAAGAACAAAATTCTCAGGGTATCTGGTAAAAGATTAGATATGCTGTAGGAGAATCATTTTTTGCTGAACCCTACAACTGATCCATGTGTGTGTACTGACTTTCCACAGACGCAGTGGGAAATCTGTGTTATGTTTTAGCACATGTAAATTTAGGTGGATATGTTTTTCAGGATGCAGTTGTCTGGAACAGAAGATGATGTTTCACAAGTAACTCTTCGGCTAAGGTGCTGTTTTAAGCGATCTTTGCTCTCTGACACCACCCCCAGCCTCATGCCCACCTGAGTCCTTGTGGAACCAGCACAGCAACTTTGATGAGGAAACTAAACCACCCAAAATATAACTACTGTTTTGCTAAGTTATTTTTCAACCAGATCGATTACACTGGCTCAGAACAGAGTAAAAAACATCCATCAAGAGCACCTATTGAAGTCAGCCTAAGCAGTTCTGCTAATAAATGTCTAATCAACTAATTGATGCTGAAAGGTTAATGATCAAAGTCTTTACTTATTAATTACGTTTTGCTTGCTTGAAAGATAATGAATGAAAACCCTGAGAATTAGTTCAAGGCTGAAAAGAAACTGGTTGTCTTCTTTCCAAAATACATTAAGATAAACTCTAATTCAAGTAACCTACAGATATATTTTAATAGAGTAAATTGAACTTTTATCAAGGAATGTACATGTAGTAAAGACATGAGTGAACTAAAAAAAACCTGACAGTCCTACTGCAGATCACTACCGCAATAGCACTGACATGAACTGGTGGCTGGGGACAGGCTATATTTAGAATTTCTGAGTTTTTTCCTCTTGCTTAAACATCAACATCCACATAATCACTCACCTAGTTTGGTAGGACCTTGCTCCCTTTGTTGAATTGAATGCATCATCTCTACAAGCTTTTCAGTCTCTTGAGGCACGTTCCAAGAAATTTCTAGATTATTTTCCCTGGCATACTGGAGAACTGACACATGAATTGAAGTATTGCCTGCAGCAGAAAGCAGAAAATAAACATTTTATGCAGTGCACATGAAGGTCTCAAAATAAATGTAAAAGATACATTACAGTTGTGTTTTACGTTAAGCACAACTAGACAACAATTTTCCATCAGAGTGTGAAAAGCTGCATTTTCAATCAGAAAAAATGCAAGTATTGCTGGAAACAGTTGCTTTTCTGTTAGGCATCAGCAAGCAGTATTTTACTTCAGACCAGTTTGACCATGATTGGAGAATTTCAGTTTACTGATCTCCAAATGTTACTGCTTTTCCATTTTAAAATGTCTAAACATAACTTTTTTTAACGTGCACATAGTTTTGCAAAGGTAGTAGTTTGCTGACCCATTAGTCTGATCAGCCAGGCTCCCCTGGATGACCACATTTCATGAAAATTTCCCTCTGTCATGCAATACATGAGTGGCATGCATCAGGCTGCAGCATGGGACATAGTGCACCCAGGTAGCATGACCTGCAAAGGGGAATGAAGAGAAATTCCAAGTTTTGCTGTTCTCTGGTATCCTAGTTCTGTTATACATTATGTAAGAAGTATGAATAAAACTATTAACAGAGGGCTGATATAAATAGTTAATAAATATTAGACTTGCAGTATTGAACTGGGCAATACACTGTTTATAATTATCAGCTGTGCCTCTTTTCATGATCTTAGAAGGACTTCTACTGTATACTGAAGGTACTTATGTATGTAGCAATTATTCTTTACCAATGCTTGGTAATATATTTATGAATGAAGTTAATAATATTAATTGTAATTTCATGTACCCAAATGTTGCAGCTCTATATTGATCTGAATATTGTTGACTCACTACACTCTACAATTTGTCTTCTTAAAAATTTTAAAATCAAGGCCATAGTGAGTAGTCATTTCATAGCTACATTATTATTGTCCTGTTGTTAATGGTGTAACACTTGCTATTACAAGCTTTAAAGATAAGGAAAACAGCTAGGGTTTTTTTTTTTACTTAAAATGTGTTTATTTTGCTTGGATTGATTCTCTATATCTCACATGTACACAATTTTCAGAAACAGAGTGTGTTCCACGTATGGTCTCTGAAAAAATCTAAGCTATTCTGGATATACAGAAATGCTACACTTTTCCTTTGTGAGGTCTCACCAGTACAAGTGCTGGTAAATACAAACATGCCAATACCTAGTGGCAAAACATCAGCAGCAACAGCAATTGCTCCATGGAAATGGTTGATTACCTAGTGGCAAAACATCAGCAGCAACAGCATCAGCTGTTGGAAATGGAGCATCAGCTCCATGGAAATGGTTGAGTGCCAAACTGAAAAAGTACAATTCTGATCAAAAATTCAGGTTTCTTAAAAAAAGTGCTACTGGGAAAATGGAGGATCCTCTGCAGTCCCTGCCCTGCGGGCAGACTTGGTACAAGGGCACATAATGTCCTGATTTACTACACGTTCCATATGGTCCCTTCATGTATGTGTAGAACATGGCATTCTGCCTGGGCAGCTGCACTAACATCTCCTGAATGACCCAACTAGAGGTGTACCTCCCATCAGTACATTGCAAGCTCAGCGAGTCTAGCACTCCCAAAAACTGTCTATCATCCAACATGGGTCAGGAAATAAATCTTAAAGAGTCAGTTCTAGCACCCTAAGTTAGCCAAAAATACTGGTCAGAGCAAGAAATGCCCATTCCCAAGATCAAAACCTTCAGTCAGACAAAACCTGAACCAAAAACCTTCTGAATTATCCATTCTTACTTGAACCAGAACTCAACTTGAACTGTTATTCTCAAGTCTGAGAACTGAACCAAAACCAAACATGTTTGTTTGCTTTTCTGCCGCAGAATAACAGTTCAGCTAAATCACCATCCTGTGACAAGAATCTCTTTGCGTATTCAGCACATACACTTATGTCCAGTACAGTATAAAGGGAAGTGCTCATCAGAGATGCTGTCTTAAATATTCCTCAACACACAGTTCCTTGAATCAGATGTCACATCTTTATTCACCTGAAGCAGAACAGCTTGGTTCAGGAGGAAATTGTACAGCATCTGAACCAAAGACTTTACTAGCTTGATTTCCTGAATATAAACTTAAAAACATATAAACTTAAAATTTTTTTGAGCTATTGGAATGGGTAATTTAAAAAATAACTTGAAAAAACCCTATACTGATAAGTTGTTTTCTCTTGCATAGCAAAAGAATACAAAGAATCTTTACGTATTTGAATTGAAAGACAAACACATACTGATCTCAACACTTTCAATAAATGCCCGTACAAAGTTTTTCATTTCCTCAAACTCTGATGCTCCAATATTGGAACTTCCATCCAGAAGAAACATGATATCCATTGGTTTGTTGCACAACTCTTAGGGGGAAGAGGAAGAAAATAAAAAAAAAAACAACACAAAAACACAAAACAAAACACAACGTTATTCATACATAACACACAGAAGAATCTGCTAAAATCTGTTAATCATTGGTAGGAGCAGAAAAGATAATGACCAGTTGAAACAATAAGTGATGACCCTTTAGTGGAAGCTTCAAGATTTATATTCAGTAGGGTACAAGGGTATTTCAATTCCTGCTTTTCTGCTAATGCTATTTTACTCTCGGGACTAAAACAAAAACAATAACAACAACAACAAAAAATCACAAACACCAAAACCAAAGTAACCGCAAACAAACAAAACAATACTCTCTCCCCACTACCCACCCCCTCAAAAAAAAACCCCCCAAAAAACAGACAACAAACAAAACAAAACAAACCCCACAAAAACAATGAAGCAAGCCTCTTCAGGGAAGAGGAAGTATAATTTTAACTTGCTTGAGGTAGGCAGATGAGAATAACATTTTTTCTTCTGTCACTCTCCATCCTATTGGAGAGCTACTGTACTTTACTGCCAAATGCAGCCAAGGACTTCTGAGCCTACTGAAGGCTGGCTCTGCTCTGTACTGCTAGAACTGGGGCAGCATCCTCAGATGCTAGCAAAGGTAAATGGTCCTTCCTCGGCATTTGGACAACAGGATACCAAATGAGAACGAGATACAGGTACCCTCTTAAAATTTCAGTGATGTGAGGGGTAAATAGAAGAGATAGGAGAGAGGAATTACACAGAAAATATATCCAACTTTACCTGGAATTTCTGTCCAAAGCTTACGAGAACAGCATGACTGCAGCACTAATTCGGGTGCTTCTTCAATAAGTGTGCTATAACTATGCAAGATTATTGGGTTATTAGGCTGACTAATCTTTCTGAGCTCTTGGATATTTGCATTGGGGGTTATGCCAATGGGAATGACATTTATACTCCTGGGAGGTCGTGTGATAACATCAGTGGAAGGGTTGGATGACACCATGTATACCAAGTGAGGAACATCTTGCCTACCCCCATTCACTTGTGTAAATGTGTGTTTGGAAATATAATCGAGGGCATTCCCAGTGTTGGTAGCCCTTCCTCCTTGGTAGGGTATGCTCCTCACCTTCTCAATAATACTTTCCTTTGACTGTATTTCCCTAAAGGAATACTCCAGAGTGACAGTATCTGAATACTGCATGACTGTAACATGAATATCTTCCTGTCCTACATTTATTTCTGTGATCACCCTCTCAAGGAACTTCTTGACAATATTGAAATTTTCCTCCCCAACGTTGTCAGATCCTTCCACAATAAAAGCAATGTCCAGCCTTTTATGAGTGAGTTTTTCTGAAAAGGGTGGTGGTGCTGTGAGACCCCAAGGGGGAAATGAGACACTGGATATTGTTGGAGTGGACGTAGCTGGTAACAGAGAACTTTCTTCAGGTCCAAGATCACATAGACGATCAATGAGGAGATCCGTATTATCCATTAGCTCTAACACATTGTTCAATAGGAAGGCTCTATTATCTGGTGACTGCTTCTCAATGAACCTGATTTGCTCCACATTAACATATGGTCCAATCCCCACAGGTATTACTGCGATTTTTTTATTCTTCAAAGCTGTGAGGATGCTGCGCAGTTTTCCTGGAGACTTGCTTGCTATAAATAGCACTGCAATTCTAGCAGCATTGGTCCTTTCTGCTTTTCCAAAAACATGAAACACAGTGTATTTAAGGACTTCAGAGGCGGATGCTACTTCATCACCTGTGTATTTTATGCTTTGGACAATTTTTCTCATTTGGGATTGTGTTTTGATATCTTTAAGGCCAAGATAGATTGTGGGGCCAGCCCTATATACCAGAATTGACACACGGATTTTCTTTTGGGAAATGTGGAGTTTCTTCATCATGCCGGTTATGAAAGTCTTCAGCTGTTCAAAGTCCTCCTCTGACAGTTTATTGGAGCCATCCATTAAGAAGGCCAAGTCCATCATCTTGCTGCAAGAGTATTCACTGGGTGACAGTTCAATGTCCTCCTCTGGAGCAGGTGTTGTCAGCGTTAGGGTGTCCTCCACTGGTTCACAGGCTACACAGGTTAAGTTCTTCCCTTCACACAGACTACAAAAATCACCAAATTTAACTGTAAAATATCAACGCTTATAATAACACATCACCCCTATCTAATAAAAGAATGTCCATACAGAAACAATTAAATATCTCAAAAATAAAACACAACGTGAGTGATTTTTTTCCCCACCCCATTTCCCCACAACTCCCCACAAGGTACTGTACAGCTAAATCCTATATTTTCATGAATGATTGTTTAGATCCAGGAAACATATGACAAACTATGATGTGTTTGTCAGAGGAAAGTCTCCTTATAACAGTCTTTGGCAGAGTGTGCAAAGTCTGTGTCTGGAAATTGTCTAGAAACCCACTGTACTTGAGCAATACAGCTACCTAACAAGCCACTGGTGGACTGAACTGGCAGATCTGGTTTGCTTCACAAGGAAGAAAATCACGAGGCAAACTGGAGGCAGCTGACACAAAGTAGAGTAGGAAAGGTGCTTTTAGTTCTGGAATGACTTAGTAGACTCTGAGAAGAGGCTAGGTTTACCTAGGTTTTAACCTTAGTGAAAATAAAAAAACAGCCCTTTTTTCTCCCTCTAAAGTACATTCCTTTTCTTTTTCCTGACTTCATTTTGTTTGGAATACAACTCTAACATGTGTTCCTCCACCACATTTTTTGTCTCCCTTGTTACCTTCCTCTTATTTACCACGTTCTCTGCTTCAGTCCCTTTTCTCATATGAAATGCTGTATTTCATCTATACCTGTTATCACTTTCTAGTCCTATTTGTCTTCCCTCAACATTTCTACTCATCTCCATTAGTAAACTTTTTTCTTGCCCTTTCCATCTCAGCTCCCATTTTTCTTTTCCCCCCATCTCTGCCTTTTCCACTATTAATCTTTCTGTATCACCATGAGATTTTTCACCTCTGTCACCCTTTACCTTTTAGGAACTTGTTTATAATTCATCTCTTTATCTTTATCAAGGCTTTAACACTTCTGCAGTTCTAACTCATGGTTTCACAATTCTCTTTCCTTCACTTATCAGAGCAAAGAACATGACTGTACTCATGCACAGGGTGGTACAGACTCAGCCAATGTATTTTCCCTGTCTTACTGGACAGTCCAAGAAAAGTTTACCAAAGATCAAGGACCAAAAATTGCTAGCTTTCACTTCCAGAGAAAACCCAGTATGTACAAACTAAACAGGTTAATACTGAAAGAAGGTGCCATTTTCTGGCAAAAGACTTCACTTTACACATGGCACCTTTGTTTAAGTTCTCTTAGTTTAAGTAATATGTTCTTCTCAAGCTGCTTTTAGTGTCTTCCTAATTGAAGAATGCACAGCTACTTTTGGCATTAACGTATAGCAACAGAAGATTTATTATTTTAATCCTAATATGAGTGAGCTTCTTCTAGTTTCCAATTTCCTTTGGATATTTGCTATAAAATTCATTTTTGTGCAATATTTTCTATTGTTTGTACAGATGGTGTAGGCATCTAAATTAGGTGACAGCTATGCAAAAGGATGTTTCCCTAGTGAGGTAAGTTTTCCTAATGTTCTGAAATCTTTTGTGAGCAGCGGCCAGTGTATCAACATTTAAGATAAATTATTATTAAGGATTACGAAAATTAGGGAACAGAGACTCATTTATGAAGATTCTTTTTTGACCTTTTGATGGAATTTAAGGCTCTTGGTGTATGCTGTTAAAAAAAAAAAAAAAAGTAAAAATTAATTCATTAGCCTCACAGTCTCATGCCCTGGGTTTAGCACAGACATACACTAGCCCTGGCAAGAGGCCAAGAATTCAAAGTTCATACCCATTCAGAGCTTCTGTGAGGTTTAGACCATTTGGAGCTAAGGTGTTAGTCTGGGCTAAATAGCTGCTGCAGTTTTACAACTCAGTTTCTATTAAATATGGTCAAATTACAAGATGGAAAACTCTCTTGTATTCACACCCTTATAAGTGACTAGGGAAAGTATTCATCAAGGGTCTAGACACCCAGAGAATGCCAAGCTTTCAGGTACTGCAGGCCATGGTGTAATATGCCACTGGGCAGCAAACAGTATGAAAATCATTCTCTACCACATTGCAGCTGAAGGTCCTGATCCTGCGTGGTGCACAGCACTGTGCACCCTGTCATTAATTTCATCGTATTTGGAAATGCATGCATGCAGGATCAGACCATGGGATATCATCTTAAAATCTTAGGGAAATTGGTTTTCCAATAATAGTACACAATTCCAACTGTTAATAATCTCAGTGAGTTCTACACGGAGTGCACATTCAGATCTTGCACTATACGTAGGATTTTTTTAATACTCGCAGGAGGAAAGAATCTGATGGCTTTACTGATGTTGAATCACACCTTGCACAAAAAGAAGTGGAACATCTGAAGCCAGTGGGGCCACCTACATATAGGAAAAGGTCTTTTCTGAAAAGAATTAATGAATTTCACTTGCTTAACTTCAGCTGACATCCTATAATTCCTACTGTCACTGAAAAACTTCAGCTTCAGATTGTATGTGAAGGGTTATTGACATAAAAAATGGTTTCCAAGCTTCATCTTCAGTGGTATATTTAAAGTTACATCCAAAAGCTTATTCATGCAAATGTACTTCATCCTTCTCCCTTCATCCTACTTAAGAGGAATGTGATTTCATTGCATAAATCCATCCTACCAAGATTCACAGCGCTGTGGATCACCTCTGTTCAAAACTATTCTCCTTCCATCTGGGATCTTGTCGTCTCCAACTGCACACACAGGACAGTCTTCTGGATTGACACAATCCAGGGACAGTTCATCAAGTATTTTCCCTGTTTCAAAATAGCACAGTAGTATAAAGATTCCAATTTTCATGAATTGCAAAACTAATCATTGCATTTACCCCGCTACAAAAAAAACATTACAAGGCTTCTGAGTTGGGCTCAAAAGTTCTGAATACTCTGCCTGTGTTACAGTTACTGCCAGCTTGACACATAGAAGTATTTCCCTCCTTCATGACAGCTTTTATCTAGATACTGGAAGAGCTTAACCCAATGTATAACCTGCAACAGCCAATACAATACAGAAGGTGAAGGTACCTTTAGAACAAAGCATTGAAGATGACAAGAGAAAATAGCATTTTCCTTTTACACATATATTATTGATTTCTCCCAGTATCCCCTATTTCACTCTGATCAGAAATACCAGAGCCCAAAATAGCTATTTTTGGTCTTAAAATACCTACTATCTTCCTCTTCATGTTTTCTTGCTCTGCACTTAGGAGCTATTTATTCATCTGAGTTTTCACTCTCCTTTTGGATCTTGCTTTTCCCTTTCTGTCTGCTTTTCCTCTTCCCATCCCATATTTCCCATATTTTTTTCTTTCCCCTTTCTAAGAGATAGCTGATGGGAACAGTTAAGCTGAAAGCTCAGGCTCATTTTTTTTTTGCTGAACACACTCAGAAGCACCAGAGCCTTGGAAGTAGCAAGCACATCAAGGCAATAGGTTTCCCTCACTGCAGTAGTTGCTCTGAAGGAGAGAATTTTATGAATGACCAGCACAAATTAATATCCTCCTTTAATCACATAGTCAACAATCTCTGTTGCTACACAGCCCCTAATCTTCCTTTCTTATCACTGCATCCTCATCCTCTCTTGTTCTTGCTGGCACTAGTTCATTCTCCTTTTCTAGGTACCACTTCACATCCTTCACACACCGCGCTCATTTCACGAACTCAGTCCAGGATGCCTAACCACCTTCCTCCTTATGCAGTAAGAAATCGTGGTGAAAACACATCAGTAAGCCTGTTAAGGAATTAACTGCTACATGTAAGTCTTTTGCAACATCCAGCTTTATCAATCCCTGAATCTTTCTGGACTATAAGACCTTTTTTCGTGCAATAGAAACACGGGGGGGATGAGGGGCAGAGGGGGGGAGGCAAGGCAATACCTACAGGTACCAGGAGCAGAGCAGAAAAGAGGTAAGTAACTGTTTAAAACAAAAGATAGATTTACCTGCAGGACAGCGTACATGGCATCCTTCCACACACCGCAGAGGGCAGTCCAAAGGCTGTGGGTGCTGGCACGTTATAGGACAAGCAGGTCCACAGCTATTATATCGCCATTCACATTGATAATCTAATTTCTGTTTATTCAGGTCCTCACAGCTTTGTGCTACAGAGTGAAAGAATCAAAAAAAAAAAAAAAAAAAAAATCAAACCAGAGTGTATTCACCTTACCTCTCAGAATTATGACACCAAATTTGGTGCAAAGTGAACCACATATGCATAGAAAAAGAAAGACTTCCATCTTTAAATAACAATATATTTATTTTATCACATTTAGGGCAGGCTAGTTCTTCACTTTTTTTTTCGCATAATGAAGTACTTACTTTAGATCAGAGATATTTGGTTTTGATAAAAACAATTGCAAAAAATTATCTTTAAATTTTCATTTTAACAAAGAAAATGTACATAAACCATTTCTTTATCTACGTTTGTTTGTACCACAGACTATTGTATCCCCTTATTGAGGGAATGCTTTTTCCAGATATGGCTCTGAACATAAATAGAAAAGGGAGAGGAAATATCACCATGACCTGCTAGCCCAGTCCCATTAAAGTGAACTTCTCTGGACATCAACAGAAGCAGAGCTGGATAAGAACAGTCTATCCCAGCCAACAGATTCCTGATTAAAAGCTTGAACCTTTTCACCCAATTCCTCTGTACTTACGGCACAGTGTCGGTGATCTCCAGTGAACAGCAACACCTTTTTGGGCGCAGACATGTGCATAGGCCACTATAGCATCACAGAAGCAAGCACAGTCCCCAATAGATTCGCAAGCACAAGTGTCATACATGCAAATATCTATGTAGGGCTCAGGATTCACCTACAAAAGAGAAACGCAGGGTACAGTACACTCGCTGATTCCCCTCACCTCCTCCTTCTAGACACACTGAACCTTCAGATGGTTTGCCTGCTCCGTTCACCAAGAGTTGAGGTGCCACATAAATCAGTGCAGGTCTTTCTGCTGATGCCAGCAAGGACCCAAATCAGGCCATGTTCTCAAAGCTGTTATAAACACTGCAGTTTATTGCTCCTTAATATTCTCCACGTGGAGTAATTTTATATGGTTTTGGCCCCTGTTCCCATACCCTCTTGTGGAGCAGCTTGGGTAGAAGGCAGTCTGAATGGCATTAGATTAGCTCAGCTCCCTCTTCCTTCAAATCTCAACCCTTGTGCTTGACTTCATCTGTCACTCTGGGCTTTAGAATAAAATTTCCCTCAAGCAGAAGTTATTCCATAGCTTTCTACTAGGTGGTATCCTGAATTTTCCCATGAAGCATCAGCTACAGGACAGGGTCAGAGATGAAAACAGCAAGTAGTCAGCCTCCTCCAAGTCCTGTGTGTTGTCAACACAACCATAGTTTTCCCCTCAGCTGTAATCAATGTCAGCACAGATCATGCAGAATTGAAGAATGTGAAACACATGATACAATACTCACAAGTTTTTTGCATTCTTCAAAAATATCTCCAGTCAAAATGCTGCATGATGTTTCTACCATCACCTGCTTCACTATGTTTCCATTACACAGCGGAGACACCAAGGTCTGTTCCCGGTTGGGCTTAATATTGTAAGAGAGAAGCACACATTGCATTAGCCTCACCTTCAGAACCTCAAGACTCTTCACACTGAACTAAGACTCACTAACACTAGACATTTTTCATGACAAAGGAAATTGTCAGGACAAATCCTGCTACAACAGAATGCAGAGTAGAGCAGGTCACCTTGTACATTTTCTCCAGCTCTTACTTGTATACTGCAGTTTCAACATAGATATTTTGATGACAGAAAGTCCCACTGTACCAAACATCCACCCTGAAAATGATCATTCACAGCTCTACAGAAGGCCCACAAGACTTGCAAATATGATCAGACCTCATCAAAAAATACCCATGGCCACTGCTCAGTAGTCTCCCCCTCTCAAGCTTAATTTATCCAAGAACAAGAAGCACTAGTATTGACATGGCATTTATCATGGAGACAGTCTGCAGGTTCTGTCCTGCCTATCACACTGAAACGAGGAGCTGCTCCTTCTCAGTCATCCCCTACAGTGTCAGTCCACATTATTGCAACTTCTTCTGTGCTCCAATCAAATCATACCTAAAAAGTGACGTTCAGCAAGTTAATAGTGTTGCTATGTCACACTTGCTCATAATTTATCCAACTAACACAAAAGATTTAATGTGATCAAAAATACATGCCTCATCTAATTTTCTAATAATTTAAATCTTTTAAGGAAAGAGCTAAAAAAGGTCTTTTTTTCCCCCTCTCTTCCTGAAAATTTAGATGAATTTTCAAGATAAAGTTTTCATCCTTAAAAGTGTCATTTGAATCAAATAACTTCATTTTACAAAAGAAAAAACAAGTTGTCTTCAAGTTGTTTTCTCTCACTTTTTGATCTGGAAATACTTTTGGCTATAATTACTTATTTCATCCGGTCAAGACAAATTTATTACTCAATTGTATTCTTTCAAAACTCTGTATTTGGAAAAGAAGAAGTATTTTCTCATGTGTAGCCTAAGTAGTACCCCATGAAATCACCCAATCTCCAGCACCAGGACATAGATAACACAGATAGCAGGTAACCTCCTCAAAATTCAGAAGCAGTGATAGCATGGCAATAAGGGCGTACATCCCAAGTCGCCCCAGTCTGAAAATAATAACTGAACGCTCTTTAAAAAAGATCGAGAAGCATATAGAAAAAAATTATTCTGTGCATTCAGTTTTTCATAAATGGACAGAGTTAAGATTTGGGATATAGAATTTTGGATAGGGAAATACGAAATTTCTATCTGAACTCCCACTGTCTGAAAATTACAGCTGCTTTTTTTTAGATTAAGCTCTAAAATGAGATTTCCAGTTACACCTGGATTTCAAGCATCTGGACTGGCAAACTGTGAACAGCCTCTGCCTTACAGATTGGCTATTTTAACATTCATCTGAAGCCAGGCAGTGCAGAAGAATTAAGTTAATTGATCTTTTATCAGATTTCAAC